CCCTCCCTTTCTCCCCTCTCTCTTTCCACCCTCTCCCTTACCCTGTCCCTGTCCGTTTCCATTTCCATCTAATCCCTGTCCACTTGTCCCTCTTCATCTCTTTGTTCTTTCCATCCACTTTCTCTCTATTTACTTCTTTCTTCAGGAGCCTTTCCCCATCTTTGTCCTTATCTTGTATGTTCCCAATATTCTTCCCAAACCACCATCTTGCCAAGCCTCTCTGTCTATGTAGTTAGAATTCCTGAACAGTTTTGCTTTATTTATTTATTCATTCATTCATTCATTCATTTTGTGGGATGAGAGAAGATAGGGAGATGGGAATTATATGTGCCATATTATGTGTGTTGTGTTTCCATACTGTGAATAGCTATTATTTCATCTAACCTCTTTCCAAATATGGGTGAATGATTTCTTATGTGAAAGACAACAGTTCAACCCAACAATTTCAGCTGTAATCTGTAATGCTTTTATGACAAAATGAGATATCTTGAGGACCAAAATATTTATGGAGGGGAGAGAAAAGAGTTATTGTGAAGTCTTTCTAGAGGACCTATTTTTTTGAGATTTTGTTAAAAAAAAAACAGTCTTAGATAAATTGCCTGGGTAGTATAATGGGAAATGACCTAAATCATGTATTTTAAGTGCAATGACTGCTGAAGTCAGTGACAACAGAAAAATTGCTCATTGATTTAAAAAAGATGCCATGTGTGATCTCAGATTTTACATAAGTTACCTGTTCCTGAAACTCTTGAATGAGAGGTGATAATCAAGCATCAATCAATAAGAAGTATGTGTTTCCAAATAAAAATTCATGTCTGACAAAAATGATAGCTTCTTGTAAGATGAAAATGACAAAATTAATAGATGATTGGAGTGCTGCTAATGTAATGTACAACAGAATTTGCTGACAGTCAGTCTGGACACTCTGAAACTATTTATGGTTAAGCACAGTGAAAATCCCAAACTGTGGCAATCCAGTATAATAAGCAAATTATCCTTTAAATTACAATCAATCAGTATTTACACTGAAGTTGCGTCATGAGGAAAATTATTTTATACTTCAGGGAGATAACAAATACCAGAATTTAATACCACTTTTGATACAAAAATTTGTCACTTAAGAATAATCACATTTCTTGAATAGAGATGTTCACAACTGGCTTGAAATCTTGCTCAGGAACCTACGCACAGGATGAATATAAATGACACAAAATGAGTTGTAATTCATTGTCTAATGTAAGATCTTGTTTTATTTAGTATCTTTATTAATGACCTAGGGAAAAAAAAAGGAAGTGGCATAAACAGAGGGTTTTGTAAAAGAGAAACAAAGAAAGTGAGATAACATCTATGGAAGCCAGAATTATTGGTATTAGCATGATATTTGGCAAAGAAGGCAAGCATATTAATATTTCTGAAGAAAGCAAAATAAATGAAGCAATTCCCAAATGGGAAATACATAAATAGGAAGAAATAATATTACTCATACTGGAGTATAAATAATTATTTTCTTGATGTAATCACTGCTATTACTAACTACTCTACAAAGTATAATAAAGAAAAGATGGTAAACTGTAGACACATTTGTCAATTCTTCAGGGGTTGAATATGGTTCTCATTTTGGCTGCATAGACAGTTGATACCACTACAGCAGGGCAATGATCCTTCTTAATACAATGCTTGTGGCACTTCACTGTGAGTAGTATGTACAGTTTTAGTTGACTCAGAGCCAAAAAAATGTTACTTTTCTTAGGAGAGTTTTGAAGGAAATTAGCAACAAAGAATACTTGCTTATTCATAAAGATAAATTTCTTTTTCTCAAACATGCTGAAGTAAGAAAGCGACTTTAATCTCTTGAATTTTTGTGGATAACATGAGACTGATGCTCAGTAAACTACTCTAGAGTATATGTAAACTCAGAAATTTTAAGTTTCAGGAGTGTACAATGCTTTTTTTTGGAGGGGGTGAATTATTGTGCTGGTTTTCACTGGGATAGAGTTAAATTTCTTCATAGTGGCTTGTATGGGGCTATGTTTTGGATTTGTTTTGAAATAGTGTTGATAACACACTGATGTTTCAGTTATTGCTGAGCAGTGCTCATGCAGCATCAAGGCCTTTTTTGCTCCTTGCACTGCCCTGCCAGTAAGTTGGCTGGGGGTGCACAGGAAGTTGGGAGGGGACACAACTGGGACAGCTGACCCCAACTGACAAAAGGGATATCCCAGACCATATGACGTTGT